ATATATTAAATTGTTTTTAATGTTATAAGTTTTTTTTTAGTTTGAGCATACGCCTTGAGATATGACTTCCCTCATTAAGGAAAAACTCCAAATCTCTAAATTTCGCCTTTCTAACTTTTATTATTTTTTATCCTAAAAAAAATGTTACCTTCTTATCAAAGTTAGAAAGAGAAAAATTAAGAATTAAAGAGTTTTCTTTAATCGAGGGAATTCGTTTATACCCAAGGCATATGCTTCAAAAAAAAACTTATAACATAAAAACATCGTATATATTTCATCAACCGTCAATAGTTTAAAAATCCACTTCTTTTTTTAGCCAAATATGATCTTGTAATTTTGGTTGAGCTTATTTGAGCAAAAAAAAGATATAAGTTTGTTCGATTTTAATGTTTTAAAACAAGTTCCTAGTAAGAGACATATTACTACACACACACACTCTCTCTCTCTCTTTTTATACTATATATTATACTATATAATTATACACACACACAACTCGAGGATTTATGTGAGTCAATTATGGAAGGGATGACCGAATATCGGTAAGCGGAGAAGAGGTAGAGGAAGATTAACTCCTGTTTGAAAAAAACTTCGACGCAACATAGTGAAATGCCACATCGCCCAGAAGCTTATAGCCTCCTAGCCGTGAGGAATCAAGAGATCTTTGTCGGGGTTGACTTGGATCTCGGGTGACGGAAGAAGGCAGCCAGAAGCGATGAGCAATCGCGGTTGAAGCTTGGCTCATATATATATATATATATATATATATATATATTATTATATATATATATATATATATATATACTATATAATATATATATTTATAGAGAGAGAGAGAGAAAGAGAGAGAGAGAGAGAGATTGTATATTTACATATGTTTAACTAGGAATTTGTTTTAAAACATTAAATCAAACAAACTTGGATCTTTTTTGCACAAATTGAGGTCAAACCAAAATTTCAAAGTCACATTTGGCTCAAAAAGAGTGGACTTTTTACTATTGATGTTTGATGAAATATATATGAATTCTTTTTCATGTTACATGTTTTTTTTTTTGAGGCGTATGCCTTGAGGTATATGATTTCCCTCATTAAGACAAACTCCTCAATTCTCAATTTCGCCTTTCTAACTTTGATAGAAGGTAACACTTTTTTTTAGGTTAAAAATATTTTCGTTCCTCTTTAGAGTTAACGTTAATAGGATTTATTAACTTTTTAGGGAATCTTTTTATCATTAGTTTTCTTACTAAAAGCCAAGGTTCTTTGGTTAAAGTCTATTCTTTAATCAAAACAAGAAAATATATGGAGTTCCAAACTCAAGGAATTATTTTGTTACTAGTATAAGAAGTAAATATAAAACATATAAAAAGAGCTTAATCTTTTTGGTGTTAATTTGAAGTAAGACGACTACAAAGCATTTGTGCAGGGGATTTAGAACAAAATCGGAATTCACTTAAATTGGGGGATTTTGAAATGCGCGAAAACTGAGAGGTAGTGACCCCAACAACACCACATGCACCGCTTCTAGACATTGTTGATCATCATCGCCATTGGCCTTCACCGTTGTCATTGTCCACTGCCCACCAATGCCTCCCTCTACTAAAATCAACGGTGCTCATCGCCATTGGCCTTCACCGTTGTCATTGTCCACTACCCACCAATGCCTCCCTCTACTAAAATCAACGGTGCTTCTGATTTCATCACTGCCAACCTTCATGACACACCACTAGCTACCTTCGAATGTTGTCCCTACCCCAGCTAGTCGTTCCCCCTTATAACTGCTGCCCCCGATTACCACAAAACTCCATTAACCTTATTTCAAAGCTTTAGAAATATATCATAACAATTACAAAAAGAGATATCCAACCAAATAAATCATGCATTTTTAAAATACATACACTCCAATTACTCTGCATTTCAAAATGTAGATGTGTTAATCATGACTTAACATGATAACCAATACGGGGCTGACTCAAAAAATTCAGGATCAATTTGGGATGATTAAATTTTGGATTAAATTTGGGTTTGAAATCTTGAATTGATTTATTTTAGGTCTAGGTAAATACGAAAATCCAAAATAGGCTCAAAGTTAACTAGACTAATATTTTGATTTGGGTTTACCAATTAATGTTCAGGTTACACACTTTATGCTCTAATTAAATGGGCCGTGCTCTAGTTAAACGGGTTGTGTTGATCCAAAAATATTGCATGATCCATGTAATAAAATGGTTAAGCATCTTGAGTTTGGGTTAGGAGGGACCAAGACCAATTAAAATCGGTTCAAATATTTCAACCCATATAATAAACAACTCATGTTTGGATCAAACATATTCAGCTCTGGTCAAACCCGAGTATGATCTACCAACCCGAAATGACACTCCTAATAAATGCATATATTTTAAAAATATCCAACCAAGTAGCCTCTAAATTGCTTTAAAAAATTCTTTTAATGCTAGCAACTCTAGGTAAACAAAGCTCAACTTGCAATAGGACAAACAATGGTCTTCTCTTCTTGAAGTAAGTTTATGACTGCAACAGCTGAGTGCATCAGAATAAGACCTAAATAACAAAATCGTAGAGTTCACTAGAATAACAAGTTAAAGAGATACCAAAACATTTATATCATCCCTTCTTACCTACCTAAATAAATGGCGTTTGTTTTCTACCAAGCAAAACATTAAAGCACCTACAAATCTTCATTCAGATAAGCCCCTACACCTTCTAAATGACAATTGTCATCGAATCTCCAAAATCTTATCAAGAGAAGGAATCATCAAAAGTATCAAATGCATGATGAAAAAGGGTGCAATATTATAGAGAAATCAAAATATTCAAGATAAAAAGCCTTAGGATAATCTCTAGATGCAAATTTTCACGTAAAATGTTGCAGAAAAGTGGTTAAAAAAGACAATAGGCTTTAGCATGCCTTCTTAAGAAACACCAAATGGTGGGGCAACTTTCAGTGAAAATCTGATTCAGATTCACCAACAAAGAGTAAATAAGATGATAAGTAATTTGGACCCAAGTAATCTCGGATCACAAATCAATGAAAGTATAAAAAATATGTTAGCAATTAAAATAAGCAAGAAACCATAAATTTACCTTGAAATCAACAAATTCTAGTAAGCAAAAAATTTGCGAATGAGAAATTAAATTTGTATTATAATCAACATTAACATTATCATAACAACCAGTGAACTGCTTTATAAATCTTCAGTTTTGATTTACTTAGCTGAATGCTACATGAGATATAAGCTTTGCTTTGAACTTCAGCTTCAGCTATGTTAAATCTGATCTGCTCCTTCATATTCCTTCCAGGTTACTTCAATCTACCAACTTATTGGAGCATCTATTATCCTCCATCATAACCAACCCATTCAAGTTATTTCCACTACTTATCTTTAATGGATGTAACTTTCACCAGAAATCTAACAATCTCTTTTAGCCTTAACATTCCTTATTATGCCATACATCTACCATAAAATTATGAATTAAGCATATACTACTCAGTTATAAGTGATTACTTTGTTTCTCAAAACTTGCAAACTTGAATCAGTCTAACACAGTTTTATTCCAACAATCCGTATAATACATCCAGTCATAATCAACACTAACTTTATCCCAACAGAAGTCTCAAATATCAAAATAACATTACATGCAAATAGCACGCACCAATCTACTTACTTTAAAATAACTTCAATAAGCAACTCTGATGCTAATACATAAAAGATGTAAACTTAATTTTCATCCATAATGTACAATGTTATGCTCAATAACTGATTGATCATTCCACAATTACTTGTAATTTAACTCAATACTCAATCATATCTATCCTCAATAGCTTCAATGATAATTTGACAATCTTTTCTTTAATACAAATCAAATCAATGCTAGTGGTACATAATCATGTTTTTTCAAGATAAATTAATATCCGATATAGGCCATTTCTTTGCTCTATCAATAACCGTCACAGTAAAAAATCACCACAACAAATACTTTAAAGTATAAAATGAAACTGATAATCCAATAACAAACTGATTTACCCAAAATGTTCCATTACACTCACCAAATAACCATAACATGAATTAAAAGATTAATTATTCTATAATCACCCCAATCATCAGCATCTCTTTTGTTCTAAATTTGTACAAAAATGAAAAATGCCTCATCTCCAATCATTTTTCATCTTTTTTCTTCGTCAACTCATTTTAAAAATATGAATGAACCAAACTACTCCAATATATCCTAAAACTCCAAAAATAAAAAATTCATTACTTGAATCAACAAATCTTAATAGAAGTGATCTTGAGAACACATGCAATGGATTAATGTATCTAAGCAATGCAAATCTTTGTTATCCTGACAATAGAATAAAGAAAGGTAAGAAAACTATAAAGATGCCTCACAATTAGTTGATTGTCACCAACCACTACAAAAGTTTCAAATAAATATTTCAATAGATCATATTAGAATTGTACTTCTTAGCTGATTTTTTTTTTAACTTTGACCAAGAATCTATACAAGGATTTCTATAAACCATGCGCTACTTAAATTGAAAAAGCCCAACATGAGTTTTTTCTGTGATAAGTTATATATAGATGACATGCCAATATGAAATGTGAATCGCTGTTTTCTTGTTACATGGACCAAACACAGCATTGCTTATGTAACCACAAGAACCACTAAGAACATCGGAAATAGAAAAACCCCTTTCACTATTTTAGAAAGTCAAAATTAATTAAGTAGTCTTCATATAAGATCAATTTCGAAACCCGTATCATATCATTAGTGTAAGAAAAAAATAGTAAGAGATATTTGCTCATCATTCCATTAGGACCAGCTACTATTGAAGGAAAATCCAATGGTGCTAAAATGCATATTGATTTTCAAACTCAAGCTTAACTTAGCTAAAGGGTTCAATGATATGCAACTAACAAAGGTCAAATACAGATAATTACACACTGTCAACACTAAAATACAGCTATAAAACATATAGTGTTTAATACCTCGAGGTGCAAATCTATCAGTCTGGTCAAAAGCACTCATACTTTTGGAAGAAGGGCGCACAGGATCCACACCAAATGCTTGAGCATACGTCTCATCAAACTCCTCAAAAACTGCCTTCCGGTACGCCAGCAACTTCGCTATTGTCTGAATCCACTCAATGCTGTCGTCATCACGTCTACAAGCAGTTAACGCCAACTGTTGCACGAAGGAGAGCAGCTCGACAGGAACTAAGCTATCCCTAGACTTCTTGATTTGTCTTGAGGAGTAGATACCGCCTGGTTCATAGCCCAGAACATCAACAGAAAAATAGCCAGCAACAGCAGTTGGACGAAAATTTTTCTGGTTGCGACAACAGCAAGCCACAGCAAGCGCACCTCTCCGACTAACCTCATCCACTGCCTCTTCCACAGCCTTAACAAAGCTCCGAGAGGTTGTTTGTCTTGATTTTTCAGAAAAGTGGGGCTCAAAGGGTATCAGCTCCGCTGGATCAAACCATCCATAACTACTGTCACCAAAGAAAGCAACCAAGACAAGTCCATCCCTTCCCATCCTTCGCACAGCAGGTGAGGCAAAGGCTTCATTGAATATGTGGCCCGGCCACCATGGGTGGGACTTCACCTTGCCCCAAACCATGTCACCTATTCTAAAAACATGCATCCAGCCACTTGACTCCAAAAAAGAAACCCTATTCTCTTCATCCATATAAACGATATCCTCGTCACCACCATCGATCTTCATCATCAGCTCCTCCTCTAGAGATCCAGAACCCATCTGCTCGCCTTTCCCAGAAATCCTATTTTCTAGATCTGGCATCTTACCTGCCAGATCGACCCTATAAGAAACCCTAGTTTCAGAGGAAACACCGCTGTAGCCACCATCGCTAACCCTAGCTCCTTCTTGCAGATTCTCCATCACCAAAAAGGAGTGATCAGCAGTGGCGGGCACAGAGTCAGCAGGTTTCCTCTCAATCTCGAAACCTGTCATGACAGATATCATAATAGCGAGGACAGACAGGAAAGGAACGAAACCCTAAAACCGAACCTGCGGAAATCGAATTGAGAGTGCAGAATCGCATAACATTAGCCAAGAAAATGGCCGCCCACGAATTCGAGAACCCTGGAAAACCCGAGCGCCAATAGAAGCAGTAGAAACCCTAGAACCTGCGTAACACAAATGGGGCGTGGCAATATGGGGCTGGCAGGCGGCCCGGGGCTGGCAGGCAATACCGAGAGAACTTGCATTTGTGTCCGTCAGATTAAAAATGTGCACGACTTTTGACATCTTGTTGTGTTAGAGCTGTCGAGGATTTACTTATTTATTTATTTAGGGGTAGTAATTAAAAGAAAACAACCTGTAATAATTAATCTCTCAAATCAATCCGAACCGTCCTAATGACTTTAATCTTTAAATATTTTTAAATCAATTCCCCTTAAAATATTTTTAAATCTATTCCTTGTAGTTTGAAGTGATCAATTCCCCTTAAAATATTTTATATATATGTCAATTAAGTTTAATTCACACGCACATCACATAGATGAGTTTGGAACTCGGGATCTCTTGATTGATAGTCAAAGCTACCAACCAATAAATCAAGACGAGCTCGTCTTTTGGAGTAAAATAGCTATACACGAATAGTTTGATGACTATTTTAAATTTTTTTTGTTTTGAAGAATATTGCATCTCTCTTCACATATAATTAAAAAAAATTCATAATAACATCATATATATATATATATATACACATTTAACTCAATAAATTAATACATCTTTTGAACATCTATTGAAGTGTATTATTTATTTTTTGTTTAGAATATTGATAACACAATCGAGCATGAATTTTAATGTAATTTTTTATATAGAATATTAATTTGTCATTACATCATAGTTGTTTATTATAAGCTTCTTCAATTCATGCCTCGAAGTGAGAAGATATCATTATTGTCACGACCCAACCCGATCGGAACGAATCCCATCGCGTTGAGTCGCGACGGATGAATCCAAGATCTAGTTTTGGAATTTGTTTTCAGACTTTCTTCCAATATACACAGAACCACAGAAACGCAGAGCTACTACAAACATCCAAATATACGGAAAAACTCATCCAACATTTTCTTCTTTCTTTCATCAAAATAATCATATACATTATAGTACAAGGCTATAACAGAAAGTACATAACAGAACAAAAAAGTCATGACTGTACAAAAATACCTAATCTCGACAGTACATGGCTTTTAGACAGAAAGAAAGACAGAACAAAAAAGTCATGACTATACAAAAATCAAAAGTACACAAGATACCTATAACAGATCAGACTCTGAACTCTATTCCTGGACTTCCTTCCCACTACACTAGCCGATCAAAATCTCCAGAAACTCTCATATCAAAATACTCAGAAAAAGTTTTAAAAACAGTTTATTCAAATAGCCGTACAGAATTCATATAATCGTATAGAAATCATATAATCAGACAGAATTCAGATATTCGTACAGAAAAGATAAACAAATAGATTTCAGATATTCGCACAGAACAGATAATCAGATGGAAATCAAATTATATATATATATATATATATATATATATATATATCATAGCTGATAGCACTTACAGAAATCAGAAAATCAGATCAATCACATCAAGAGTACAGAAATCAGATAACAATTAGTTCAGAACAAATCTTCCTTCCAGATATCAGAACTTCCCCTTATATCTCCCTTGTGCATATATCACCCATCTTCCCCTTATAGCTCCCTTTTTGTGCATACAGCACCAGAACTTCCGCTTATGCCTCCCATTTGTGCTCACGGCACCAGAACAGATGTGCTTATACCAGAATACATATATAGTGCTTATAGCACCTAAACAGATATACAGAATTTCAGAACTTCACAGAACTTCACAGAACTTCCCCTTATAGCTCCCTTAACTTCCCCTTATAGCTCCCTAAATAGCATATACAGAATCAAATCATTGCAGAGCAAATCCGGACAAATCAGAAATCAGACAAAAATCGGGCAGCACAACGGCAGTATACGGAATTTACACAATTTTTCCTGAAAATCACAATTAACCAAATTACAACAGAATGTAGATAACAACATTTCAGAACATTTATTCTACTGCCACAACATTTAATCTTCACACAGAAAAGTACAGACGGAATAAAACG